CATCGCAAACAGAAGATCGCTTGGAAATGGATCCACCACTGTGGCATCAGATTAGCTTTTGGAGAACATTCTTTTAAGAGCATTTCATCCTCTCACAGATAGGCAAATTAATGAGTCTTGCTTTAGAGAAGGCTTTGCTCATAAATATTAATGCATTTATGTGTTTTGGTACATCTATTTGTGTAAGCCTTCCAAAACGTCCAAAACCTAGACAGTATTTTAAGACATCATAGGTGCGCTGACAATGTAATCGGTCTCAAGAGGTCTAAAATACTTCTTATTTGGCCATAATCAAAGGCAGCACTAAAGGTATTCTTTGCAGAGAAGACAATCCCAAAATGCATTGTGATGAATCAATACTTAAAAATGATTGATTTTTAAATATATTTGTTAACTATGACATACTATGTTACTAAATTTTTGTTTATGAAGTATTTTTATGCTCAATAGACTGTCATATTGTTAGCTTAGCAACATGCTAATGCCAATATCAACTAGAATTAGTTGTCTCCTGTGCACTATTTGTATGGTGCACAAAGTTGCTTCCTGCAGAAAGTGTGTAGTTATGAGATTATGAGATTTACTTGCTCACTAGGTTTTGGAACAGAAATAAATGTTTCATAATTAATATTCACGAGCTATGACTTCACAATAGTAGGATTCATTATTTTGCCACCTGTAGGTCCCAGTGAATGATAACAATGTTACTATATTTGATCGTCAAATGAATTTGGCTGCCCAGCACATCCAACCGACAGGCCCCCTCCCTGAATTTGTTCTGCTGCAGTAATCAATCTCCATTATGATCTCATCAGCTGCTCTCGAATAGTTATGTATACAGTCCTCTGCCACAAATAATGACCAAAGAAGAATTATTTAGGCCTTGGGGTTTCAAGCTCAATGAGGCGTCACAGCATTTCGTCTTGGGTCACTGACTTTTACGGTTTCAGATACGACTGGATGATTATATTGAAGCATGTGGATCATTTTGACTGTTTTGTTTGTTCTACCTATAGATATACAGCCATATGTGAGCACAGCGGAACGAAAGAGCCATGCACTGCAGGTTTATATCATATTTAATGATACAAGTTCTGCAGCAAAGTGTATCGGAGAATTCAGTGGAGGAGACTTCAGTCCAAATGTGCTTAAGTTTATCACATCCATCTGTGTGCTGTATAATTCCCTCAGTATTGATGTTTATTACTTCTACCAAGGTCACAGAAAGAGTGAAATAATTTGAGAAGAACAAGAGATGGAGAGGAGAGTTGAGCTAGTTTAATAAGAGACAGGACAACAGAAGAATGGAAAAGGAAAAAGAAAACAAAGATAAAAATAGAGAGTAGCAACCTTTTCCTTCCAATAAGTAGGTTTTCTCTCTCTTTTGCTCTCTCTGGAAAGGTTAGGTTGACCCACTGAGACTCTACAGTGTCATACAAATTATACCACTGTAAAACTCCATCATCCTTGACTGTTGATAGTTCTTTGTTTTTTTTGGTGAACCACGTAAAGGTTTTGTATTCTAGTATGAAAAGGACACTTTACAATCCAATCAAGTTTTTATTCTTTTCATATATCCTGTTTAATTTTTTTTTAAAAAGGCTGGAGCCCTGCATGCTGAAGAAAAACTAGATATTGTGGCCACAAATTAAGAATTAATTCCCACGATTTATTAATTTGTGGCCACATTTCATTTCTTTGTTCCCTTGTTTTAGTTAAATCGTGGCCACATTGTACTGATTTGTTCCCTCATTTTAGTTAAACCCTGGCCATGTTGTATTAATTAATTTCCTGGTTTTACTTTATTCGTGGCCATTATTCATTCCCTCATTTTAATGAAATCATGGCTATGTTTCCTCATTTTAATTAAGTTAAATAATGGGCAATGAGGGAACTAATTAATAAGTCGTGGGAACAAATTCTTTGTGTCCAAAATGTCCTATTTCCCCCCATCTGCAGGGCATCATTTTATGAAAATAAAATGGGTTTGCGAAAGCTGCTTCAGTTTGACTATACCTGTGCACTGCAAATCAAAAATCATTTTTATTTTAAGCTCTTTATCTTTTTGTAGTTATTCCTTACTAAATACTCAGTGCTTTATTGAAATAATTTATTGATAATTGATGTTTTCATCAAACAAGACAACATTTTTTTTAAGGCACAGGGTGCTGACTAGATGCCACAGTGTTTCTTCAGAGTGTATCCTAATTGATTCGGCCCTTTAAGAGCAGACAACAATATGTTTAAGTCTTTCAACGTTGCAGATGTTGTGATCCGTGCTGATTACTGCTAAGCGGTTTAAAGCCCTGCCGAGCACAGCTGAATTGCAGCAGAGAGATGGGGGGTGGGAAGGATGAAGACGGGGTGTGCTGTCAGACCATTGTGCTGACTTAGACAGGAAATGAGAGTGTGTCGACCTACAGACGAGATCTGGACGGGGGACAGCAGGGTGAGGCTAGGGCATGGACAGCAGCAGAGGGGAATCCTTGTTACATGATGATATACACTCTTATGTGAACCTGATGGATGCCCATAGGAAAGAAATATCACAGATGATATTTAATATTTCAGTTGTTTCTCACATGTGCTTAGACTGTCAGAAGAGCTCTCAATAATGTCTGAAACTGTGCTCAGATGTGACTGCAGACTTTTGAGATGAACTCAATATGAACCTTTCTCAAAGGCCAAATGATCTATCCACATTTATTTTTTATCTCTATTTTATATAAGGTGGCAGAAATTTTGGAAACTTTCCAGGATTTTTGGGAATTTTTTGGAAAGTTTTCAGGAAGTGACAGACAACATAACTGCAGTGTGCACTTAAAATAAACAACATTATTGTGCATTGATGTGAATGCTATAGTTATAGTTATTGTTATGATAACCGTTTTTGATGTGAACAGGCCTTTACTGTATTTAGACAATTGCCTTGTTTTTTCTTCTAGGGAATTTTAGGGGAAACATCTGAGATATTTAAATGAAGAATAACCAATAAAATGTTCCTTTGATTGTTCAGCTAAAGGTCTGAAAATGTGAGATTCAACTGTAGAGGTCTGTATTTTTTCCCTCCCATTGTTAATCACAACATCCCTTGCACACCTGATATTGTGTGCATTACTATCATATCTAATCAATTTCTTCCTGAATAATGATTTCCTATTGGACAAAAGTGGGTATTCTTGTTTGGTATCTTAGAAAGTGTCATGTTCATGCCTGTTCCCCTTTTCCTGCGATACTCTTTTCTTCTTTCCATTACGAAAATTATAGACTGAATTTGGGTACAGCAAGATCAGCATATGTGTAATGTGTGTGTGCATATCCACCCTTATTAATCTCTGTTTCGATGGATGTTACTGGTTGGATGGCCTCTGCCGACCTTGAACTGAAACGACTGAATAAAACGGACTGTCCCTCTATTTCTCAGAAGGCAGGGCTTAAGAGGAAGGCTTGATTAGATATGTACTGCAGGCTGGTGCAGTTGTACTGGGTCAGGCATGAAGGATTCAAAGACAGGCAGGGTCACGCTTTATGAAACGCACTGTGTGGCTCAGTAGCTCAGATTTATGAGGGACGTGCATGGATTTCAAATATGAATGAGTGTGTAATGAAGGTATTTAATATGTAGTGATATAGAAAATAACAGGCTGCACAATTTGAGCTATCATTCACTTTGCCTTGACTTACACACCCCTATACATGGAGAATGCCTTGCGTTTATTACCAGTTCAGGAGGTAGAGAGAGACGTCATGCCCATTGGATGTCATGCGAGTACATGTACGTCTGTCATTGTTAATTTACACCAGAAAAGTTGTGTAAGTGCCTTGTCTTTTCAAAGTGTCTGCGCTGATACTGCTCTCTGTGTTACATACTGTGTGTGCATTTTTTTGTTATTCCATTTAATCATTTTATTAAGCCAGTTTAAACCTGGTTAATGCAGAGTTAGACAAGAGTTTGATGGATGAATGGAAGGAAAATGTCTCAGCACCCTATAATTATTTCTGTCCCTATGGAAATGTGCATTGACGTACTAATGTAATGAATGAAAGTTTTGTTTTAGGGCAGCTTTGATAACTTAATATGACTTAAAAATTTACTAGCACAACTACAATGATGCCACCACCAGCCAGTTTGAGCTTTTATGGCCTTCAAAAACACTTGTGTCATTTTAAGACCCTTGCACTAGGTAAAAACATAAGCAATATTTCAGCAGCCAGACGTTTGTACTTGAACCCACTGTGGCTGATATGATGAAATTGAAAGAAAAAAAAAACACTTACTATATAAGCAATATTACTTTTTTTTTAACATGCTTAAAAGAACTGACTTGTAAGAGTCATTAATATGTGATTTAGACTATTTATAGATTGCAAGCTCACAACTCAAAATACAAGTTATAAAATTATAGTTCAGACTTTAAATTCTGATAGAATTTAAAGATTTAAATTCATAGCCATTGTAAAATAGCAATATAACAATTAATCAAAAATACAGTAAAAAAAAGTAATATCAGGACTATTTGATGAATAGCTCAACAGCATTTATTTGAATTAGATATTTTGTAACAATGAATAACAATAACAATAATAATAATTAATATGATAAAACTTATAAAAAATGTATTATTATAATTTTAATTATTATTAATAATATTATTCATATTAATGACACAAATGATTTATTAATTAAACATGGGTGTTATAAAATCACTGTAAATCACTGCGCTGTGTGGCTTATTCTTTCACTGTGCCGTTATGGATTCAGCAGCAAATAGTGGTGTAGGAAACACTGCTTTGATATTGTGTTCATGAGACTAGTGCAGCTCTCTGGCCTGTGTTATTTATGCATTTAGTGTTTGAGATTTGACTCATTCGCCCTGGGTAGCTTCTCACTCTTTCTCTCTTTCACACTGTCTTAAGGTCTTCTGTAATTTTGTTCCTGCTCAAACCAGGTCTTTTGTTCCTTTATTTTTTTTTTTTTTTACAATGCATTGCCTAAACAGAAGAGGCAGCATGTAGGTACCCCGACACAACACAACACAACACACACGCCTGAAATGGCTGCATGATTCACCTCTTCTCTCTTCATTTGTCCTTTATTTAGATTTTCTTCTTTTTTTTCTCTCTTGTACCACAAAATGATGTTGAAATGAGAAAATTGTGTGCTAACAACATTTTCTTTTTGGCATCTTTTGACGTTTTCTGATTTGTTTTCTCATGTTTATTAAACATGCACTTGCAATATGCTTTTACTGTTTCCATTGAATACTTTGTTTTATTTTGTTTGGTATGCATCTTGGAAGAATATTTTAATATAACTTTTTTTCTGTGTGATCTTTTATTTATTTATTATTAAACAATATGATTTGATATTTTATGGTGTTTTTATTTAATTTACTGTATTGTGTTCATCAGATACTTTCTTGCACCTTTAGCTTGACTGACGGCCCATCTTGTTCATCATTTGTTTTTATTTTTCTCTCTACCTCCTTTTTTCTCTTCCCTGCACCCTTGTCAGACTGCATGGTGTCCTGATATCAGGTGCAAAAGTATTACAGTGACAATTTAATCTATTTCCTCTTTCTATCTCTCTCTCTCAAGGGGATGTGCTTTTTCAGATGGCGGAGGTTCACCGACAGATCCAGATGCAGCTAGAGGACATGGTGAATATCATTAACTTGATGAAGATCGTATTGCCTCATAGGCTCACATTTTCTCATTACATTTTCTCACAACATGACTGAGTCAATCAGGCTGTATCTAAGAAGCTCCATTAGCCTCCAGGGTAAGGAAATGGAAGGGAGTGGCATCTCAAAAGGTCACATCGACTCAGACGCTTCCATATATACATGAAGGGCAATAGTCCACGGTCACATGCGTAAACACACCACCTCAGACAGAGCACAGACTTTCCTGTGCTGTGTGACACAGCTGCAGATGTTAAACAAACCGTATCTGAGTCCTTCTGAAAATGATAACAGGGTAGAAACTGGAGTAAAGGTCTGTTAGCGAGTACATTATGGATAGGACATCAGTTTTAGCTCTGTAAGGTTATTTTGGCTAGTGTTAGCGACTGAGTTTGGTGTGTGAAATGTGTAATCAAATGCAGAATTCATTTGTCATATAAGAGGAAAATTGCTGGTCTGTTGTACTGTACTGCTTGTGTTTATAATATAAACTGTGTTTGTCTACTGTAATTTTCAGCTGAAATCATTCCACAATGAACTGCTCACAGAACTGGAGAAAAAAGTGGAATTGGATGTTCGCTACTTAAATGTAAGTTTATAAACATACACAGACATTTAAGTTGTGATCATATTTGCAACATTCTGCCAAAATTTCATGGACAAAAAAAAGGCTGTTGTCTGTTGCCAATAGTGTAGTGATATATATATACACACACACACACACACACACACTTGCAAACCAAGCAGAATCAGTTGGTCATCACAAACCAACTTGAACCAGTTACAAAATCAGCATGAGGAAATCTTTCAGCCTCACATGAAATTCCTGATCACAACCTTCACAAAGGCATGTTAACTTTTTCTTTCACCTGACTCAGTGAACTAAGCACTGTCTGTGTCTTGTTTCTTTATTTAATTGAAACACATACAGTCACTTGCAAAAACATAACTAGATTTATTATGTTTTTTACTTAATTGGCCTTATCCACCCCCAAATAACATGTCTTTTAAAGGCAATAATTTGAGTTTACTGCATGTAATGAAAGCAAGAGTATTAGCAGCATTACACCAACGTCTTCTAAAAGGCTCTTCTCAGCTGTATGAGGGGAAAGTGTTTTTTTTTTTTTTTCCTTTTTACTTGAGCGAAATCTTTTTACATGCATGAAAAATCAGCTGTGCATCTGAAATGAGACTTTCAGCTTCACAGATTGAGAACTGGATCTCTAACAGGCTTGTTTGTAAATGCATTAGATTGACCCTCAGCTTCTTGGCAAGAAATCAAAGCCACATTTATTCGGTCACTCATTTCCAGCATTGATAGAAATAATGAACTACGCTCCCATGCTTTCCGTTCCACACATAGTAAGGATGGAAAATAAACTGTGTCAGGCTCAGTCAAATGTAGCAGAAGGCTTTGGCAGTGAAGACTAGTGAAAACAAAGATGTATGGTCTGAAACACAATGAATTCGTCAAGCAGTGGGTTCTGGGAAGACACTTGTAAGGACAATAAAAGACCTGATTGGGCTGACTCAGCCAAGTTCCCATTAGTAAAGAACATGTGTTGACCTTCATGTCTTTTAGATGCTGGGTTCAGGTCAGTTAAGCTTTGTTAAGAAACAGTCGATTCACAATGGGCACACTTTTAACATTTATTCTAAGCTTTAAAGCTCAGGATATGCTGAGAATAAAGAAATCAAGCATACTACGAGAGAGCCCAATCTCATTCTGTTCTCGTTGGCATTTAGCCACCTGAGGTCTTTCTGGAATAGATGCTTAATAACATTTTTTGAAATACAACCATTAAGTTCCCCGTCTTGTCCATTTGGATATTGTTAGGGGTTGATTGTGATGAGAGCTGTGTTATTTCGTCTGGCAGGCAGCTCTGAAGAAATATCAGATGGAACACAAAAGCAAAGGAGAGAGTCTGGAGAAGTGCCAGGCCGAACTGAAGAAACTGCGCAGGAAGAGTCAGGGCAGCAAGAACCCCTCCAAATATGGAGACAAAGAGATGCAGGTGAGTCAGTGCTCTTCAAATTTCAGCAAACGAAACTTACTTTTAAGTACTTTCTTTTTGGTGGACTAGTTACACCAAAAATGAGAATTCTGTCACCATTTATTCAGCCTCATATCAATCATTCCAAACATGTAAATCCTTCTTTTGTGTAACACAAATGAAGATGTTTTGAAGAATGTAGTTGTTCGCTTTTTTCCAAAGACCCAAACAACTTTTATTTTGGTCTGTTTCTCATTCAAAGCTCTGTCATATGACTTTAGAAGACCTGAAATATAACAAATTAGTTGTATTGACCACGTTTATGATACTTTAATGGTGCTTTGCATCCTTTTTGAAGCTTGAAAGCTCTAGTCTTCATTAATTATAATTGCTCGGAAAAGAGTGTCCAGTCTTTTCAATGTAATTATAAGTGTCAATCTTCATATCTTCTCCTTTTTTGTTGCATGGAAGAAAGTAATACAGATTTGGAACAACGTGAGGCTGAGTAAATGATGAGAGAATTTATTTTTGGATGAACTATTTCTTTAAAATTTCTCTCAGTGTACAAAAGACAATCATAAATCAATTCAAGTCTTGAAAATGTAATGTCTGTGCATTCTGAGTTTGGCAATTTGTGACATCCAACTGAGACTTCATGCTGGGATGAAATATTGTGGGAATTCTATAAATCTGTTTCTGTAAGTAATCTGTATAAATCCCACTCTTTCTCTCTTCTTCACAGTTTGAACATACAGCTTTGAACACACTTGAGAGAGAATGAGAAAATTAAACATGAGCATGTATGTTAAAACTTTATCAAAATGTGTGATCACATTTTTACATTGGCTACAGTGCTGATGACAATTCACACAAGATTTCCCAACATAATTTTGCTTTGCTACAATTACAGTGATATATAACAAAAAAAATGATTGAAAGGCAAAAGATTCATTAAATAAAATAAAAAAAACTCGCAGACAATTTGGTTATTCACAAGCTTTATTCAGAGAATTTTTCACACATTATGGATCTAAAGGGTTTATAAATGTTTTCATTATCTTATTTTTTGATAAAGTTATATTTTTATAATCTGATATGCTGTTGCTCTTTTCATGCTCCTGCTTTGCACTGAATCAGACAACAAGCTGTGAACACAGAAAAAATGAGTTTTTCATACTCTATAATGTTATATTGCAACAATTTCACAATTGTTAAACCATAGCATGTTTCATTTTATATAAGAAACACTGTTGTTTCAGTTTCCTCCCTGATTACTAGAGAGAAACGCAGGTCTGTTCCAGATCCCCCGTGCCAATATTAATACTGTGACCAGTGTAATGCACTCATTTCTTTTTTTCCCCTGAGGAATCAATGCACAGAAATGATGCCGCATTCTAGTCATATCCTACATTCATATTCAGCATGTGGTAAAATGAGGTCAACCGGAGGGCAGGCAGATTGATTTGAACTGGAGTGTCACTTATGATTTCAGGCTGCAGTAGTGTAGGATATGGACCCACGTTACATCATCTTTGTACGTGCACGTGTGTACATTAGTATTCCCCTTGGGTACCAAACTAAAGACATGTAGTGCAGAAATTTGAACCTATTTATCCCTACCCCACCACACTGAGCCATATGGCTACATACTGCAGCAAACAAACATTATGACGCTGTTTACCAACTCTAGTGCATAAACCTGTTGAATGCAGCATTTTTAGCCTGACAGTGTTTACTGTCGTATGTTCATGTCAGCCACTTCACAAGTGGTAGTTAACGTCATGCTAATCATGCTGCCTGTCTATTACCTGAATCACTGGGAGATTGTAAATATAGATGTTGAGTTTTTTGCCATGCTCCTGTACTTGTAATGTCTGATGGTACAAATATAGTTCATGCAGTCATTTAAATAAATCATTGCTGAACCTCTATTGCCTCAGGCCAAATTGCAGTAAATATCTATCAAAGCTGACAGAAAAAACATTGGTTTTCATCCATTTTGCTTAACAACTAGGTAAAATAAAGTGAATTACTGCCAGCATTAACTACTAAATGTGCAGACTAACACGTGTAGGGTCATTTTGGTAACTGTAAGATGCAGAAATATATGAAACATTTGAGTATTGCCTGTGTGACGACATTTTTGTACTTGTACCTACCTGGCAACAGACTTGCGCTGGTTCTGCGTCTGAAGTTGTGTAAGTGCACTCGCTGGACCTCAAAGTTGAATCTTAGCATTGTACATGAACTGTACATGTAAATGTTCTCTTCATGACTCAGACACTGAAAGAACATTTAATAGGAGCAGAAAAGCGGTCTTGACCATGGGTCATTAAATACAAAGAAGATCCTGTAGTATAGTGCTGTCATTATCTGGAAAGAAAAAGACAGACCACAATATCTGATCCATTAGCGCACAAAACATGCAGTCTGTACGCGGATGTGGGCTACGACGACATGTTCAAGTTGAAAAATATTGAGATTTGAATGTTGTAAATTACTGCTGCTTACATATATCATTCAAAAGTTAAGGGTTGGTTAGATGTTTTAATATTTTTGAAAGAAGTCTCTTATGCTCATTAAGACTACATTTATTTGATTGCAATACATTAAAACAATTCATTATTGCTTTCTATTTTAATGTATTGTAAAATGTTATTTATTCCTGTGATGCAAAGCTGAATTTTCAGCAGCTACTACTCCAGTCTTCAGTGTCACATGATCCTTCAGAAATCATTCTAGTATGCTGATTTGGTGACCGATTTCTTATTAACAGTATTTAAAACAGTTGTGCTACTTAATATCTTTGTGGAAATTGTGACTTTTTTTTTAAAGGATTCTTTATATTCTGTAGAAATGTTTAGCAATGTAGAGGTCTTTAACAAAATCAAAGTCACCTTTGATCAATTTAATGCATCCTTGTTGAATAAAAGTATTAATTTCTTACTAGATAAAAATCTTACTGGCTGCAAACTTTTGAACTGTAGTGTACAGTATATGCTAGTTTGCTTCCAAAAAGTAATTGAGTTATTCTTTAAAAGTGTTTACACTTGAAAACTCCAAAAGGAAGAGAAATGCCTTCAAAATGGCTTTTTTGCATAGTTTGTAGTTTATAATTTTGTCAGATCCTGGAGAGAACAGAGATTATTTGAGAAGTGTAACCACCATGCTTTGCCCTCAGCGTTTTCTTTCCTGTCACCAGATAAAAATCTTACTGGCTGCAAACTTTTGAACTGTAGTGTACAGTATATGCTAGTTTGCCTCCAAAAAGTAATTGAGTTATTCTTTAAGAGTGTTTACACTTGAAAACTCCAAAAGGAAGAGAAATGCCTTCAAAATGGCTTTTTTGCATAGTTTGTAGTTTCTAATTTTGTCAGATCCTGGAGAGAACAGAGATTATTTGAGAAGTGTAACCACCATGCTTTGCCCTCAGCGTTTTCTTTCCTGTCACACTTCAGAATCGGTGATAGACAGAGGGTTGGGAGCAACGATGGCAAGAGAAGGAGAAGAAAAAGGGAGGGCCAGGCAGAGAGTGGCCCACTTTTACAAGAACAGACTGTTCAGACGATAATCACGGTTTTCATATATGTGTGTAGGAAGATTCATACTGAACAAATTTCTCTGCAGGCAACTCCAGAAACATTTTAGACAAAGACAAAGAGGCATTACCTAACAGGGGAAGATTATATTGGGGTCTACTAAAATTTTTTGCTGAGCTATTCCCTGGTCACTTTAAATAAAGTTACAAGTCAAAAGCAGATGTCTTTCAAGCTTGATAAAGTGATGTGACTCACTCTTTGGAGTAGATGCTATGTGCAGAAATATTTAGCATTCAGCTGTTTTTGTGTGCCGAGCATGCTACCTGTCAGCAGTGTGACCAAACTCCCACTCATGATCAGAGAGAATCCTGGAAATGCTACATTTTACATCTAGTGTTTTACCTACAGGCTGATTACATCTAAACTAGCTTGACAACTCAGTACCTACTTTTATATTTGACACTACAACATCTGTTTCCTAGTCAAAGCTGAGGTGTTGTATCTCTTTTCATTTCCTCTCTTTCATCTCTCATGTTCTTTCGCACATTAGTTTAATGCTAAAGCATTACAGACAAGTCTATCTGATGTACATTAGAGCAACAAAACCTACAAAACTGTGTTTTGGTGCTGGTGTCATAGACCAGATGTGTACCAAATGAGTTTTAAACACTGGATGAGGCATTGCTTTATTCATTTCAGCTGTGCAAGGCACTAAACCCATGAAACTCGAAGATTGAGAGTCTATGTGAACATTGTACACATTCATACATCACTATGAACCCATAACACATTTTTGCATGATGATTCCAATGGCCTTTTCTAACTTCAGACTAATAATAGACTTGCAAACAGTGATTGTTCATTAACACTTGGTGGGAAGGAATCAGCATAACTCTGTGATATCACAATATCTACACAGGTTGAATAACCTTATGAAGGGTGTCACTGTGTGTGCGCAGTTTGGATTGCATCCAGTTCCTGCGAGGTGTATGTCCTTGTTAGATGTTGTTTTGGCTGTGGCGCGATCTTTACCGAGGCAGCAGCCTTGGTCATTTTTAAGTTGGGATACTTTATTTTATTTTTATTTATTTTTGTTTGTTAGGCCGGTTAAATTCAGCCCTCACCAGCTTTGCGTGCTATGGATTATTGAGTTTTAGCATTCCCATTTGCTTCCGTACAATGAGAGTAACAGCAAGCCTACATGGTTGTCATTTGAAATGTGCGGTTCTCCTAGCATGGCCTTCATTACATCAGGCTGCGTTAAACTGGGGCATTGTTTGTCATTTTTTTTATGTCTGCTTCATGCCACCTTCCCTGTCCCTCAGTACGTCGAGACCATCAGCAGCAAACAAAATGAGCTGGATAACTACATCTCTGAGAGCTACAAGAATGCCCTGTCCGAAGAGAGACGGAGGTATTGCTTCCTTGTTGACCGTCAGTGTGCAGTGGCCAAAACGAGCAACACCTACTACACCAAGGTGAGAATTCATGTCATGCTGAAGAAAATTTGGGTTGCAGAAACACTGAAATTCAGTTCATTTAAATAAAACTTGTGTTAAGCATGCATTTTAGCCATTATTTGCACATTTAAAGGTGTTAAAGACAACATGAAATGCCATTTACAACACATTTAGCTTCCGCAATGTGACATATTTTGAAGTGAAGCTAATTAGTAAGGTTCATTTCATTTAATCAATATTTGGTTGGGTCATTTGGTCAGTTAAACTGATAAAGCCTCTTTTATGTCAACGTGACCTTGGTTACATTAGAAAACTTTACAAGACAAAGACATCTAAAAAAGTATACAAGTTCAATTTTGATTACATGTTGTCTTTAACCTTCAGTCATGTAATGTATTAATACAGATCATATACTATTAATTATAAGTATCCATTTTGCCAAGTAAATACTCATAACAACTCCATACTCTGTGTTCAGTTGTTTCTGCTCCCAAATCCCATTTAGTCAAGTCATTCATTTCATTTCGGTGCTGATCATTCCACCATGCTTGCTAGAGAATGTGCTATACTGTATGTTTTGGGAAAGTTTCTTATATTGTGTCAAAAAGTCACTCAGGCCAGTGCCGTAAAATTGTGTTTTGTTTACAATGCACAATGATTTATAATCAAAACTAAATGTTATTGCTTACTAATTGTATCAAGGAGATTTAATCAAGGTGGTGCTGCCCATATATCAAACACAAGGGTGAAGGATGATTATTCTTTTTAGAACATTACATTCACACTGATCAAAAATAGAGTAGAGATCTGGTGATATCTGTTGGATTCACCAGCATGCAGAAGAGACATTTCAAAATGTCTCACTTTCAACATTTGATATGTTATCTATATTCTATTGTGAATAAAATATAAGTTTATGAGATTTGTAAATTATTCCATTCCTTTTTTACTCACAATTTGTACAGTGTCCCAACTTTTTTGGAATTGGGTTTGTAATAATAGTTACTGTACACTTATTTCAGGGTCATTCCCCTTGGATCAACTTGGGATCAAGTGCTTTACTCTTTGAGGGGTTTGAACTAGCAACATGCCAGTTAACAGCCCTAAGCTTTACCCAATACGCTACATGGTGATCAATGACCAAAGCTGACCCAAAAATGAAACTGACATTCACATATGTCCTTCCAGACTTGTATGATTTTAACATGGAACACAAAAAGGATGAGATCAGCATATTTTGCAGCATAGTTACTCTTTTTTTTTTTTGCTCTGTATTTCAAGTCTTCTTAGGCTGGTTATTTTGGTTTTAATAGTTATTCACATACTGTATTCAGAGCTCTCAAATATCATTTGCTCTTCCACATTCTTGTTTAGCATCTTTGATAAACATGTCTTTAAGTATCATTTTTGAATGTAAATGAATGAGATTTAAGAGCTACAACAGAGACAAGACTTGTAGGGTCTTTATTAGTATTTCATTAGTGTTCCACCAAGGAACAACATGTGAGTGAGTAAATGACAGAACTTTCATTTTTAGATCAACTGTCCTTTTAAAACAATGTTAAAATCGCAAATGCTTCAGCTTGGCAGTAGTTTAATGAGCTGTGACTACTGAATCTTATGACTTTACACATGATCTGTCCTGCTACTCTTGAAACTTTTGGATCAGCATTTAACGTCCGGATGAAACGGAAACTGCGCTCGTCATTTCATTTTCTATTTCCATTTATAATAAACACTGTAATATTCCATAAAAAATAAGAATTGTCCATTTTAATTTCATGGTGACTAAGATCTGCCAATCTGCACTCCTGAAGAGTGTTTTTATGAACCCAATGAGGTCCCAAAGTCCACAGGTGCTCAGACAGGCAGGCAGGTGATAATTGCTTTGGGTGGGGTGGTATGTGGTTGTGACTTAGAAAAGGGCCGTAGGGGCACAGTAGACAGGGTACTGACCTGTGTCAGCCAAATACAGACTATAGAGGTATTATGAGTACAGAGCGAAGGAGAGTGAGAAAAAAAAGATTAGATGAAAGGTTTTGACATGTTACAAGGTTGTAGGCATTTAGAAGACTTTTCACCCAGTGTAGTGTGTAGTACGTTTACCACTCTTATGTTGAAGGAACTTTGCACTGAACCAAAATTTGGTGTAGGATGCAGGTAGATTTAAAAAAACTAAAATGCCACAACACAAATTGATTAACTTTTCATTTGTCACATCTCTCTGAAATTTGGGTCTTCAGAGTTTTAAATAAGCATTCATGTACCGCTCAAACAGATGATCTGAATTACAGAAAAGTGTCCAAAGATAAAGTTGCACTTCCTGTGCTCTACATTCGGAGGTCTCTAGGCGTTCCTCATCTCTCTTACTGCTACTGGTCATAGAGCTCAGCCAGGCTCACTGCCTGTGCATAAGGCAGTGTAATGAGGCTATTTCAGGCTTCAACCAACAGGGAGGGGAGGTTGTCAGGATAGAGAGGGATGTCTCTGAGCTTCAGAGGAACGTGAGGTGAGGAGGGATCACTTTATCGCATTCCCTCTCCCTATCAGTCCATCAATTGAAGAGCTCACCCCTGAAACCTCTGCTGTGCAGGAACTAAGTTTTTCACAGAGAGGGTCTGTATTTGGTCTGTTATGCTTGATTTGCCCACATGGGTTTTCTAGACTAATCTAAATTATTCTCTCACAGGTGTGTAATGCTTGCATCACTCATGCTGGGTGCTAATACTAGTTGTGGCGCTGTTTGTTTGTTTTTAGGGCAGAGACTTGCTGACGCAAAAGATACCATTGTGGCAACAAGCATGTGCCGACCCAAATAAACTCCCAGAGCGGGCGATGCTTCTGGCTCAGCAAATGGGCTCAGGAGTGACAGGGACGCTGGGTCCCAGTGTCCACCACACCTCTAAATCTAGCCTGACCATCTCAGACCCCATCCCTGGGGCCAAGCCACTTCCTGTGCCCCCTGAGCTCGCAGTTCTCATGGGGAACCAACAGATGGTGAGTTAGAAACCCAGTCTGACCCAAATAAAAAAAAGTGTGAGCCACAAAATGATACAGTGTCTCAACTGCAGCTAGATAATTTGTAAATGGTTGCATTAATGATGTGTATAATTAAGTCCTGAGGGTGTTTGGGAGAGTGGGGGCACGCACTCACGGCCATAGGAATGAGAGAGTTCTCAAATTCAGTATAGATGAAGTCATTAAAATACAGTTCCATAATGATCACAATGCTGTGAAAAGAATAATCAGAAACCTGCTGGCTTTACAGCTCTCTTTAGTTTACAGTTTATCAGAGTGCAGTAACATCTCCTGCGGCACAGCTGACAAAACTGTGTAAAAGACATGGGTTAAAAAAAGCTGCATCTTATAAGGGAGGACATTCAAATCCCATTTGGGAGTATTGCGACTGTTATGTTTGTTGTTGTTGTTTTAAGAGATTGGAGAGAAAAATATATGTATTCAAGTATACATGGAAACTTGAAAAAATGTGACTTGTATCTTGCAGAGGATGATGGGAGCAGATAGTGTTCCCATGGTGAATGGCTCAGGGGTCCATGGGGGAGAAGACTACCAACGCTGGATGGAGACCAGAGCCGCACATGAGAAACCAGCCCACAGACACGGCGGAGAGACCTTCTCCAACACCCTGCCTGTCCGCAAGGTTGTGCCTGTAAAGCCCAAGAACACTCTGGGTAAGTTAAAGGGATAGTTCACCTAAAAATGAAAATTCTGTAGTTAATTACTCACCCTCATGTCATTCCAAACCCGTAAGACCTTTGTTCATCTTCGGAAGACAAATTAAGATATTTTTTTTATCTGAGAGCTTTCTGACCCTGCATATCCAGCAAGGGAACTACCACGTTCAAGGACCAGAAAGGTAGCAAGAACATCGACAAAATAGTCCATGTGACATCAGTGGTTCAACTGTAATTTTACGAAGCAACGAGAATACTTTGTGCGCAAAGAAAACAAAAATAACGACCTTTATTCAACAATTCTTCCCTTCCTTGTCAGTGTCTGCCGCCATTCACAAGAGTACCATAACGCATGCGTGTGTATTCCTCTGCTTGTAAACAAGACGCAGCCCATGCGTGTTTTATGTCAGCAGCACCACACGTGTGTGTCGTGGTAAAAAATGTTTGGATGAACTATCCCTTTAAGGAACTTCAGTTAACTCTGATCACGACATTTGGAAGTATTCAGTGCTGTTTATTCAATACCCAGCATCTCTATATGACTTAATAATCTGTCGTCTATATTTACAGCTGTGTCAGTTTCTGTGCACCTGTGCGTTTCTCTCTCTCTCCTTGAGAAAGTAGTGAACACACACACACACACACACACACTTCCTGTCTATTCTCAGTGCAGTGTCATTCTACATCCAGCACACACAGATTAACCTTGACAGTAGTATGCAGATATTAGTATAGCAGTCTATAAAAATGTTAATAGTACTAAAGCATTAAATCACCTTACGCAGGCATTTATCAGACATGCTGAAATATAGCGGGGCGACAGTTCGATTAGAGCAGCCCCATCTCCAGCTAACCACATAGAGGACGTTCCAGGACATTACCCTAAACCGGGATCAGTTTTTGCCTGTGACCATGTGTTATTTTAGCAGCCTGAGCCCACTTTAGAAAAGACCTGTCCTGTTTGATTAAACTTCCCTTTGCGAGGCCATTTTGAGAGATTTACAAATAGACGGGTTTGGAGTGGTAACAAAGAGAAATGACTGCAATGAGAGAGAGTGTGTGTGTCTGTGGAGGTCTTCACTTCAAAATTAAATTTCTCCTACAGTACAGATATATACTGTATACACAGCAAAACATGTTTGTGTACTATACTTCACTGAAATAATTACACTTGCAATGACATTACAGACTTAAATATATATGAATAAGCATGCAAATACTTTTGGAGCAGCATTGAAATACATCAGAAGTAGGGCTTTGTTATGTAACAAAGCCAGCAACAAACATCTCTCATCATTACCCCAGGGGCCCCTCTTTAGTGCATTCAGTATTTATTGAGTTTTGCTTAAGTCAATGCTCAGTTAGTTCAACTTCTTCCCATTGTTCCTGTTCAGGATGCACTCAATAACCTCCTTTTTTTATTCCTGGTTACAATAAAGATGCTTTAGCCATCATCAATACTGCAGTTCATAAGTGTTAGTGGTAAAAAATGTTTGGATGAACTATCCCTTTAAGGAACTTCAGTTAACTCTGATCACGACATTTGGAAGTATTCAGTGCTGTTTATTCAATACCCAGCATCTCTATATGACTTAATAATCTGTCGTCTATATTTACAGCTGTGTCAGTTTCTGTGCACCTGTGCGTTTCTCTCTCTCTCCTTGAGAAAGTAGTGAGTGGACAATAACAGGGCAAACACTGCTGGAAATGAAAACAGGGCAGAGCAGGTGGGAATAGAGAGGACAGCTTTAAAAATGGAGAGAAAGTAGGTGAAGGGTATAATTTCACTTTGAGGGAAGTATTTTTAAGAAGCAGCGGAAACGAGCGCTCTTAATCAGTGTTGTACATGACCTTTAGGTGGAATTTTAAATATGTTCCTGAACCTACTGAGCTGCCTTGTTGCCTACTTAGGCAGCATCGTAACTGAAATAAAATCTCATAAGTGACCGTTTTGAAGGAAGTGACTCAAGTTGTCCTTCTCACATGCAGCAAACAAACGTTTTGACTTAACGGTTTACAACAGTTTGATGTTAGTATGTTAAAACAAATATTCCAAATGCAAAAATACAACAAATATATACACAAATATTAGGTAAAAGTTCATTTTTAATCTATTGGATTGTACGATATGTACTGAATGAAATGTACATTTATTTATAAACTGTTTTTCTTCTCGCATAATTATAAAAAAATTGCTCAGTATGGATTTCTAATCTCTAACCCCAGCAGAGACACAAACCCTACCCAGGTCAAGCTCGATGGCAGCTGGGCTGGAGAGAAATGGACGGACACGCGTTCAGGCCCTCTTCTCCCATGCCGCCGGGGACAACAGCACACTCCTCAGCTTTACAGAAGGAGACATCATCACACTGTTAGTGCCTGAAGCCCGGGACGGCTGGCACTATGGCGAAAACGAGAAAAACAGAATGTACGTATCTTGTGGTTAACTTCACAATAAAATTTACTCATGCATAGGGTGTGTACAGAAAAACAAGAAGATTTTTCATTATGAAAATACGTTTAAGAGATTTGATGAACCAGAGAATCTGCTTCAAATTCCACGTTGCATGTGTCCTTTCAGGAGAGGCTGGTTCCCGTTCTCCTATACCCGCATGATTGCTGAACCAGACAGCAATAAACTCCATGTTAGGTGAGTCTGTCTGAATATTAATGAGTTTTACAAAAGCCCTTTCAATGTTTAAATACCATGAATGTTTAAATCATGAGCTGTGTAACACCATAAAGCATACGATTGTGAAAGGCTTGATGCGTGTGCATAAAAGACGTTAACGTTGACATGACCAATCAAAACTGACCTTGTTTACTTTATTCGTGCGCATTCATAGTCTTGTTGTGATTGATTCATCTGTGAATGTTATTCCAAAGAAAAAATATCTTCGTAACCTTTAATTGAAAATATAGCGTCTTGCTCTTTCTCTGACACGATTTTCATTTTTACTGGTGTCACTTGGATAATGTTAGCCATTGTCATAATGCATAATTAGCTATTTAGGCATTATTTTAGCAATTGTGCATTACGTTTGGCTCCATTCTAGTATACAATGCCCACTTTCTTGATCCAATCATTCCATTTATTTTAGGGATAAAATAAAGTCCTGGACTACATTTTTCAGAAATGCCACGTTAGAGAAATAAAATGAGCAGCAAACATCAACATGACTTTAATGGTGTGTATATGTGTGTTTGTAGTTTGCAGCATAGCAGGAGCAGCAGCACAGGAAATCTTCTGGAGAGAGACATGGTTTTGCCAACACCTGATTACGGCATGCCCACACGCTTCCTCACCCAGCAGCAGAGCACACCACACAGCCGACAGAGACCATACAGCATGGCAATGCCAGGATTCTCACAAGTAGGCTATGTGCACACACACACACACACACACAC